TTAATCTTTCATTCTTGGTTCAAATTGGAAAATTTGTCGTTACTTTCTTATACCTTGTCAATCCTATACCTACGATCCATTGAAAAATAAGAGATCTTTTAAAAACTCCAAAATTTGATTATGACTAATTTGCGGGCTTTTACGCAAGTTTAAACGCGATAATGAAATACTCGAAGCACACTGTTCTCACTGTAACATTTGGCACGAAAGGTACTAATACATACACCAAGATTCCAATTTCTCAATTTACCCTTTCAAAAGGGTACGAACTCGCGCAGAAAAGTCTGCAAAAATTCTGCTGCTGAAAATCACGTCAGGAAGGAATGTAGATCGTTGATCGTGAGAGGGTTAAATCATTGGACGATCGATCGTTCGATGAAGGAACGCCTGTTTCAGTTGGAATTCGCGACGATCGTAATGGCAGCCTTCGAGCCGCTATTTCCTTTTCAACGACTAACGATAGCGTGAGTAATAACAAGAGAAAATGTTGCATGCTGAGATCGACGACGTTTGTAAGAACGAACATTCCACGTTGTGTGTGTGTGTGTGTGTGTGTTTCTTTTTTTGCCGATTGCGATCATATAAGATCTGCAAGAGAGATCGCTTTCGAGAATCGTTCTGGATGGAATTTCCGTGTACGATGCCATGACGAGACGTGATTTCCGCTGATTCGTCGCAGGAAATAATTTCGTACTTTGTCGTAATCAAATTTCACGAATCATATAATTAAGGTGTATTTCTAATATTTTTTTTATTCAGTTAAATCATTCATTTATTTATTTATTTATTCGTATGTTTTTTCAGTCATTCATCCATTTATTTATTATGTTTCGAACGGAATTTCTTTATATAAAATCATAGGATCGTATGAGAAATATTTTAGATAAACTGAAAGAGGAATAAATAATTAGCTAATATATATTTATATATACATATTGTTCGTCTCGATAAAAAAAGTATTTATGAGTATATTATAAATATTTGATGGTAAGTTAATTGTTTGAAAAATTAATGACTCCTTTCAAGAGACATAGATAATTCTAAAAGAATACATTTTCATGTGCAAGTAGGATTCAAGAAATATCGAAATATTATGCCAAATAATGACAACATTTAGCTCAGAAATTAAGAAAGCATTGCTCGCATTATTTTTGTTGATGTACAAGTATCAAGTATAGTTGATGAATAACTGTAGCAATTTATTGTTAGATTTACGACGTGTTGAATTAAATTGAATCAAATATTCCAAAATTAAGTAACGTCAAGTAACGAAATGATACCAGCTACGGTTCAATATAACGATAAAAGATAATTGAGATATTAGTATAATTCTGACATAATCTGTATCGTTATTAGACAGTTAGATATCTAGATTGGACTGCGTTTATGAGAAATGACATTACATTCACAAAAATATGAGTCTCTATAAATATCTAATTATTACTGTATCATTTCAACTTCTTCTTTCGATCAAATCAATCTTTTTTCATCGAAGCAATGAAAACCAGCCTGCACGTCTCTTGCAACGTGAAGTAACTAAA